CCGAGGCGGAGTTAGCAACCCGAGGTAAATTTTTGCCAGAGCTGGTCGTAACCTGAAAAGTTCGTTAACAGAGGCGTTCGTAACCCGAGGTACCACAGCCTGTAAAGATAATTTCTCCACACAATATTAAATAGTCAAGTCTCTTTTCCTTTTGAAATAGTTGCTGGAGGAAGAGTTAGAAGCTAATACCAGGATCTCTGATATTGGGTCTTTCAGTACTTGTGTATCTATAGGCAACCCTCTTGATATTTGCCAGCAGGGTTATCTGCAGAGGGGACAACGAATCATGGTGGCAGTCACAACCATGCAGTTGTGGAATGTGCTTTGTCTACTGTCACTTCTTTGTTTATTGCTTTGAGCACCATTACCCATTTACGTTCCATAAACATAATGTCGTGGTTCAAGAGGCAAATGTGATCTGGTATAGGATTGGAGGCTCAGATCCACACCCTGCATTATACTGAGGTTTGTAGGTAATCTTTTTCTTAGCCTTGCCATTTGCTTTCTGGGAAGACCACACCTGCACTGCGGCCTTTTTGTAAATAGACAAGCCCTATTTTCATCACAGTGTCGTGAGTGAGAATCAACAATCCTCATTAATCACTCTTGGTTCCAACTATATCCACTAATCCAAAAAGCTTGGCAAACCATATTATAGCTTTTTAGGAGAGATTAAAATGTTGAATGGGAATGAAGAATATTGGCTAGAGAACTCCAGATTGTGGGTCACCTGTAAAGCAGGCTTAGCTCATCTTTTTGAAGTTTACAGATGAAGTTTTGCTTGAAGGTGTGGTGCTGCTCTTCCTTTACTTCAGTGCTGCACTTAGGACCTGATTAGAGAAACAACTGAAAAGCCCCGACTCATTTTGTAAACTTCAAAACGCATTCCAAAAGAAAGACCAAAAAAAAAAAAAGACTAAAATGCTAGAGGACAATGTTGGTGTTTGATAGTAACAGAAATGCTACATGTTTGCATTCAAGATCCATAGAAAGTTAAAATTTCACTTTATAAATTTTTCATATGGACACTGTTGGGCTGATAAAATGCACCTTGTTGCTCTCACTCATGCACATAATTACATAATGTAAAATCACTAAATATATCTCCTCTATGAGAGCTTAAGGGAAGTAGGACTATATACTGCATACCATTCTGATGGATCCTCCTCAAATTTGCTAAATGGCATCTAGCAAGTTTTTAAACTATATGGAGGTTATTTTTTGTTCTCTTAGTGTTGAAA